CTAAGCAGACAGAGGCGGAGGCGGAGGCTGTAGAAGCTGAGTGTCAGCTATAAAATATTGCCATTAACATTTAATTGAGGCCTCGGCAAAAAGGGAAACTCAGAAAACTCTGCCGGCTGTGAAGTTGTTTCTGAGGGCCATTGAGGAGCCAATGGATACCTCAATTAAGTGCTATGCTAATGGCTAGAAACTGAGAACCTTAAATTGTCAAGGTTTGCTATACTTAAGTGGATTTGATTTTTTTTTTTATGGCTTCAAAGAAGAAAAGAAAAAGTTACCTGAGAAAGGCAAAAATTTAAAATTGGATATAAGAAATATTGAGAGTTTTTTTAAGGAGACTGTAAATTCATCAAGCTTTCGAGTCTTTAGACATTTCTTGCCGATCGTTAAGCAAAAGAAAGTAATTTAAAATTTAACTCACTTTTTGTGTTTCAATTACCAAGTAACAGCCAAACAGTTATCTGTTTAACGTCTGGGGGCTGGCTGGCAAACAGTTCGGAACTCGATTTCTTTTTTGACAAATTCGGTGCTTACTCTTATCGCACCTTAACGCGACGCTAAAGTGGCCATTGCCGAGGCTCAAAAGAGGCTGCTAATTTTTTTCAAGCACCCAAGCACACTCCGCCCCCTGTCTTGGCGAGCATAGCTCTTCAGTTTCAGTTTTACAACCAATAAAAAGATTTTTATGACCACAAACATTAAAATGTTCAAATTGAAAATAAGCAGAAAACAAAACACGACACACAAAGCAACAAAGGCGGAACATGAAAGGAGCAGGCTCCAGGGCTCCAGGGGACACGAAAAATAGAGGGAAGCAGCACGAGATACATTTTAAACCAAATTTATGTGGCACAAAGGCAGCGCTGAAAGCAGGAGGAAACGGAAGTTCGGGGGGCAGATCCAGGCTTCGGTAAGGTTACCGGGGGCCAGCGCTCCTGTCAGTGGCAAACAAAAGTCCAAAGACGCAGCCCGCTTAATGTGTGTGTTTGAAGTTGGCCAACAGGCTAACGCCCAACAAGGAAAATGGGCGGAGTGGCAGCAGAAGCAGAAGCAGCAGCAGCAACAGCAAAAGCAAGAGCAGTAACAGGCAAAGGACGAAGACAATGCTGGGAAATTACCAAAGCACAAGGGCCAATTCGAGCATGAAAATGTAAACAAGGCGAAACGGGGGGAAAAAAAGTGAGAAGCAAAATCCAGGAGAGAAGGCAGGCAAAAATGTGTGTCGCAATTGGTTCGAGGTGTACAACGGGGCGGATGGAAAGGCGACAGGCAGCAGGCAGAGCCGCAACAAAATCAACAGTTAGCCAATGAGCCTGAAAGTGGCAGAGAGGATGGAAAAAGAGAAAACAACAACCCGTTAACAACAAGGAACGTTCTTTGGCAGGGGGGAAAAAAAGCCATCAAGCCGAGTGAAAGAGATGTCTAACGACTTGGGTGGCAGCAGGTGGCACCTACCACGTACCAACCCACCTACCCACCTACCTGGGAACCTTTTGGTGGGTGAAAAATCCACGTGGGTCCCGCCAGAAGTTGCACAAGACAATTATAAACGTAATGGCAACAACAGTTAGCCAAAGCAGAGGACCGGCCAACAAAGGCAGAGTGGATGGAAAAAGTATCGTTAGTGAGGTGGAGCAGCAGCTGAACGCATAAATTCCGTTTAACAATGTCAAGTGGGGGTGGAAAACCAGGAAAAAAACCAAGGGAAAAACCCAGGGAAAACTGGTAAGACGCTGTGAACATCGCGTAGGTGTTGGTCGTTAGGCTAAAAAGCTAACGCAGATAATGTTCGTCCAGCTATAGCCCTCTATCTTGCTTTCTTTCTCTTTCTTTCTGTCAGTTATATACCCTTCTCCTTCCCCCTGGTATATACACAGAAAAATGTTGCATTAGAAGAAATGAAACTGGTGGGGGGTGCTGGGAACTGTGTCAGGGTTGCAAAGGATTGCAGAGGAAATTAAAAAAAAAAAAAGAGGATTGGAAAAGATGGTTTTGGGGCAAAGGCAAAGACTCGAAGGGAAATGGGGAAAGTTAGGCAAAAGCTAAGTGCTCGGAAGAAATTGAAAATACTGAAATTGTTTTGCCTTATCTTCATATAACACTTAAAATTGAAAACGACAAACATTAAGAAGACCTGACCACGATGTAAAAGTGGATAAGAAAAGGGTGAAGAAGCCATTAGGGCAGTACGATATACGATATGACGTTGGTATAACTTTTACAGAACAATTACTGAAAATGATTTTTTGATAATTAAAAAACCTTTTTTCATAGTTACAAACCTTATTTAAACTGTCAGTTTATATAAAGTTCATTGATTTCAACAAGTGATAAATGAATTGATGCGATAAATGTCGAAACGAAATGATTTATGTGCACTTCTCTAAAGCGGCTTTTAAATTACTTTAAAAAATTGCAAGCTCAATACTTCGCTTTAAATTGATTTTAAATTAATGCAAACTCGGCAACTCTGTCAAAGTACACTTTTTTCCACTTCCTTTTCCACCTGCACCTTATGCAATTGTGGTAGTAACTTCTGCACCACCGCCTTGCCCCATTCCCCAGGATTACTCCGTGGGCAGCGAAGGAGAAATTAGCAAGCAAACACGAGTAAAAGAAATAAATAAAACGAACGACAGGCGGACACGAAGGCTAAGGGGGAGATGGCTGGCAGTAAAAAAGGATAAACTGCGACTGGATGTGAATTGTGGGTGGCATCCTGGTGGAATGGCAGCCACACAAGCGACGTGCTCCCAACACTTCTTGAGTAATTCATAGAAAGGTCGTAAAAGTCGAGTCAAAGTAATTATGCTGGGGCAGGGCAAAAATAAGGAAAAGGAAGCAAAAGGAGCCAAGTGAAGCTAGGATCCTGAATTCAGGACTCAGGATTCAGGACCCGGGCCATTTAGGTTGTATGCAAGAGTTGTTAAGACAAATACACACGCACACACACACACACACACATCCTACGAGAGTTGCGTTAATTGAGTGGGCCGCGCATATGGGCGGGTCTGGAGGCAGTGGGTTGATGGAACGTGGACGGGAGGCGTGGCTGAGTGGATGCGCTAAAGTGGCAGCCTTGCGCCTTCTTTCTGCTTTCAACGGCGGCATCAAGTGGCAAAAGCCGCAGAAGTATGCAACAATTTTCAGCAGCCAAGCCGCGAAAGAGAGAGAGAGCGAATTTAACCCGGGTTTTCCGCCAGCGTAAAGGTGTAATGAATGTGCCTGAGGCACTCCTTTATGTATATGCGAAGGCATTACAATTCGCCTTTAATTGCTGAAAGCCCACAAATTACAAAAAGGAAAGACGGATGGGCTAATGAAACATGCGGGCGCTGGGTAAACCTGAGCAGAGAATCCTCTGTGGATATGCAAGCGGAATAACGCGAATCCTGAAGTTCCTATTTGCATTTCAAGGCAGCCAGTGGGATAATGTTTAATTTGAATGGGTGTAATAAAGTATAGGAACCACAACTTAAGGGATATATATGTACACTTTAAGGTAATCAGGCCATTGTTAGTACTAAAGCAGTTTAACAGGTTTCAGATTGGGTAACTACTTCTTCTTTCAAGTAATGATTTGGCATGAAAGCATTGAATTACACATCCAACTGTCATTCAATTCCCCAAAATATTATTAGGAGCCATCAATACAATATTAATTATGCATTTCCTCAAATACAGATCATTTCATTGACTAAGCGAAACATTGTTTTCGATTCTCTAAAGGCAGGCTAGGCTGCACAAGCATATTGCTAACTGATTTTGCCATCGATCCGTCGGCAAAGGGTAACAATTACAGCTCGTCTCATTAACCATTGGGTATTAGTTTCATTTGGCGCAATTAGCAGGACTCCTAGCAGCGCCATCAACTTGCCAACTGGCTCAAGGACACTGTCGATGGCAATAGTCGTGCATAAATGCAGCACCCTATTGACATTAATTGAATGAACCAATATGGACAGTTAGTTATTGAAACATGTCAGGATGAAAGAGGGCGGATTGAGTGGGTGGTTCTGCTGGGGGGCTAGTTGGCTAAGCAAACATGTCGTACAGAGAGCGAACGCGCGGCTTGGACAAATGAGGAGGACCAGCCAACGATGACGAATGTGTGCATGTCAGAGAATGGGTGCTGCCAACTTGACTCGCCCGAAAGAGATCTCGGCGAATGGAAAATTGCCTTGACACTTGACATTTGACAGCTCGGAAAAATCCAAAAAATTGTTGTGAAGCGTGCTTCAAGTTTGACATATTGGATTCCTGCAAACGAAAGCCGATTTCGAATCGGCAGATCCTTATTTGCCATCCCATCTAGCTACCCCCTCCTGAAACTACCCCTTACCCTTAACTCTCACTCACATTCAGAACCTCTTCCTTTGTGTGCTTATGGTAATCTGCGTAAAAAGCATGCAAATTTTCCCGGGCAAGGAATAAATCTGGGGAAAATTAAAGGCCGGCGATTGAATTGGTTCACATGCTTCACAGACTCCTATTTTTTTCGCTCCACCCCCGCCACCGACCCCCCGCCACTCGCCATTTCCATTCTCGCCCCCACTGAGATTGTACCAATGGACATCCTGCGGTGAGAGCTGCCAGGTCCACGATTCATTTCCACGCCGCATATATGAATATAAATGCTGCATCACCATCAGCGCCTTGTTTTTGTTTTTACTGGCGCGCTGCGGTCGGAAAAGCCTCACGCAGAAATTGAGTTATAATATGGCCAGCCCGGGAGTGGGCGAAGAAGGAGTAGCTCTACTCTGCGGTGTCATCCTCACCGCTTTATGTGCATGTATAGCATACATTTTGGGGCGTGTGCATCATTTAGCCTGTGTGTTTGCCAGTGGGCGGTGGCAGGCAAAAAATAGCAAAATGGCAAAATGGCCAACAAAAGCAAGAGCCAGCCATGGCCAAACGCTAAATAAACTATGCAAGAAATTTATGCAAATTTTATACAATGCTCAAGCATTTAAAACTGACTACTATACCTAGACGTTTGTACATGGCGAGGGGAGTAGAGGAAGGAGAGAGAGTAGAGAGAAAGGCAGGCACAAATCGTTTGTCTATGCTTTGGGTTGTCTATCTCCATGGGGCTTACAGTCATGGCTAAAACTGATTACTCGCCTGGCCAAGAGGATAGGTGGCGGCAAATGGGATTCCAAATACTGATTGCAATAAAGCCACAAAATCGTGAAGAATGGGCAAAAAATTTTTGGGGTTGCTACCAGAATGAAGAATACTTTCGAGAAAATAGAAAATACCAACGAACTTTTTGGCATTGTGCATGTTATACATAAAGCAGGCATTTTTGATTTTCATTTTCAGAGCGGTTTTTACCGAAAATGAATGCAATTTACCTTGATCCCGTTTTTAACCAGGTTAATGACAAAAGTGTTCAGAAATTGAATGACAAAATTATATTATGAGCAGAGTTGAAAATTTAACGAACTAAAATATCTTCAGGTGAAGTATTAAATTTCACAAAGTAGTATAAACTCTTTTATTAATATTAACAGCTTGCAACCCGTAAGCTCTTTATGGTTAAAGTTTCTTTCATTTAAGAACCTCATTCTGTAATTACTTAAGTCCCCAGCTTACTGCCACTTTTTCGCTGCCAGAACAAACTGCCTCAACTTTATCTTCGATGAAGGATATATTTTTTTTGTTCTTTTGAGCTGCTCAAGCTGCATTTCCCGCTGACCAAGTCAAAATATTGCACTGGTCAACTATTGTGAACTGCGGTCGACTGGCCGCCGCTCCTTCAGAGGTTGGGCTTGCGGAGGGATGGAACTGGAAGCTCGGAACTCTGGGCCCAGCACCTCGATGGCCGCACAGAGTAAACCGCGCTTGCTGGCTGCGGTTGCCGGCAATTTGTGTTGCATTGTTTGAAATTTTCGGCATCATTCTGCGAGCAGCTGACAGTCCAAGCTTCCTTCGGCTTTGCGGTGGGTGGTATATATGTACGTTCTTTTTTTTCGACTTTCTCTCCGTCGAGATGTTAAAACAAATGTTGCTTTAATGCTGCGGTCTGGTCAGTCCTCTGACTGACTGACTAACGTTGGTCTCTCCTTCCTTTTTGGCCTTCATTTCCGGGCAGCAACAACAATCAGAAGGAAAGGAATCCTGGCTAATGTGATTGCAGAGTGGCGTGCTTCCGGCTGCAAGCAAGTCACTTCCAAATTGATTAAAACAAAGGATTTGCTAGGCAGTCGACTGACTAGTCGACAATCAAGCCTAATGAAGACATGCCTACAACCAAATTTGCTAGTTCATCCTGGTCAGCTGAAGTTGGTTTTAGTCTTTCTCTCACTATATCCCACAGGAAATAAGCTCGGCAATAAACGCTTCCAGGATTAATTGTTTGCATAATCAAGCTTTTGCTTAAGGGGTTTTATTGCCCATGCTTCAAAGGCTACCCTTCTGCCTGGCTGCCATTTTGCCTGATTTACGTTGCGTATACGCAATATTTATGGCACCTTCAATTAATTGTGCGTTAGATTATTTAAGCATCCTTTACGCAAAGGCCCTTGCGACCCCCTTGAATTATTAGTAGGCATTAATTTTTCAGAGACCTGGCTTAGCATTAGCATTAAGTTTGCTCCCCGTCGTTCTGCACGTGGTATGCCTTTTGGGTTTTGTTAGTTTGTTGAGGTAAATTGAGTTGAGTTGCGTTGAGTTGAGCGGAGGTTGACAGTTTAAGCCCTCAACGGTGATTGACTGCCGTCCCATCAACCACGCCTTTGGGTTTAGCAATTTTCAGAGCCACTGTGGCAAACGTACAATGGCCATATCGGATCGTAGCTGATATTGTATTATATATATTCATTGTGTATGGCACGAGTACTGCCTCATCCATTCTGATGCAACGATTTATATTCGCTCTGCTTGGCATTTGGTTTATCAATCAGCGAAACATTTTCCATATATGAACGCCATATGCACAGCACCAGCTACCCGGCTGAGTATTATCCATTAATCATGGCCCATTCGTATATGCCCTTGTACCAGGCATATGCATATTGATTTTCTTACGACCATCCCGAAACTGTTGTCCCAAATTAGGGCTCATTCTTTGGTCCTGCATATTCAGTAGTCCCATCTCGCATCATTTATTTCAATCGTTGCAACAATGCAATGCTGGCTGCTACCCATTTCCCATTGTTTTTGCCGCGATGCGATGCGATGCGTTCCACGAGCTGGACATAATTAAAACCGCAAATAGCGCGCCAGCAATGCCCGATGGCCGTTGATCGCTCGCCGCAGAATAACGCATAATGCCAGCGGACTGAGCCAACAAACGATGACCAGCATCTATTATCCATTGTCTAGGCCATACGCCATCCGCCATACGCCAACAGCCACCCACCACCATCCATATCAGATGACCACCATTCCTCCTCCTACCCATTCCTGCCAAAAATAAAAAAAAGGAAAGAAAAAACCACCGCTGACATGTGAGCAATGGTCGGGCACACAATGCACCTTTCTTCGCACACATATGCCACATATTCAGGGCATACAATTTCAAAATTGTAATTATGCGCCTGCTGGCTAGTTAATTACACTGAACAAAACGACAAACAAACCAAAAAAAAAGATTTTTATGTGCAAAATCAACATGGCAAACCACGTATACGCCCCGTTAAACCGTTTATTAGTTTTGGATTTCCATTTGATTTCGTCCGGGCAATAGATTTTGCTGCTTCAATTAGTAGAATTAAAATGTTTACCCGTCGGCCACCGCTACTATAGCCGCGGCTCTCTGAATTTTTCATTTGTTGCGGGCAGCGGGATTTTAAGCCGGCCGTTTGCGGCATTTCTCCATCAGCAACGGATTTTTCCAGTTAATTTTGCCGGAGTAAGAGGCTTAGCGGTGACGTTGGCCAGCTTTAAAGGATCATTAATTTATCGTACAGTTTGGCAAGTTGTTTTGTCAATAAACTGTACAGTTTTTCTGTGCTTTAATATGGCAAATCATGGCATGCAACTAATCAGCTGTAATAGAATTGATTTTGCACAGTCATAGTTTACTGAATGTTGCAATATATCAAATGAGTTAAAGTTGAAGCTAGTGAGATGTATTCTGGACTATTCCTTTTCGTCTTCCTATGGTTACTTCATCATACTACAAGTTCCGAAATACCTCTTATCAAAAGTAAGCTTATATTTTGCTATTAAAAACTCTTTAAATAAGTTTTTTACTCCAATGTAGAGTGCATGCACAATGATGTGATGGTTAACTGCGTACCTGTTTGCCCTAAGATCTGCTCGCTGTACTATTATACTCGCAGGTGTAGCCCCCAGAAATGCAAACGGGGATGCGCCTGTCCGAAGGGTTGGTTGCGGGATCTACATCCCCAAGGCTATTGTGTTCCGAAGAAGACATGCCAGCGATATATCATACAATAAAAAAGTTTTCTTTAAACTGAAACTAATGTCTTCTGGCTGCTTTTTTCGCTGTTTTTTCCTGGCATTTAAACTGTGAAATTGGGGGCAGAAGAAAGTCTGACGACAATGGCCGCGATGATTTGCATTTCTATTTTTCCCCCTATTTTCCGAGGCTTTTCAAGAACCACTTCTTGGCCTTCCCGCAATTCTCATTTCCTAGTGCCTTGCCACTTCGCCAGCTCGCGTTTACGAGTAGTTTGCGGCGCAGTGGATATGTCATGCCCGTGTCAGAAATTTGTATTGTGTTGACTTGCATTTGACAACTTAATGAATTTAGCTCTTTCTCTGGGGTCTATACACCACCCAGATCGTTGGAACGTTTGGCATTATCTTAACCCCAATACGTGCTGATATCCGGATGCATTCGGCGGCCCGATATTGCATAAGCTTATGGCATTATGAGAAAACTTTTCAAACGAGAGTAACCCGGAAAAAAACGTCCGTTACGTGCTCCATAAAATGTCTGGCAGCCCTGCCTGACCAAGTCGAACACAAAATATCTATATATACATACATATATTTTAGTGGCCGAATTTCTTATTTTTTTTTTGACAATGTGCAAGTTTTTGGGTTGGAAAAAAAAACTTTTTATTTTTATGTTGTACCACAACGGAAAGCGGAAGCAGCGCAGAAAATGTGGTAGAACCTTTAGTGTTTGGTTCCGAAGTCCTCAAGCTCTGTCGGTGAAAAAGGCCCGAGTTGTATGTGTAATTTGGTTTTATGCTTTATCGCTTGCTTGATTTTTATTATGATTATTATCGTGGGAATTACGGTGCAACTTTGGGTAGACCATTCCCAAAAACTTTTCTGATTGCTGGGACCCTAAAGAAAAGCTTTTTTGTGGCTCTTTCCGAGAATTTTCTACAGATTTATTGGGTTAGCAAGAGGCATTTTCACTTCTTCGTTGTTTTTTTTTTTGCCCAGGATGACAATGATGATGAGTGTGTGTCGGAGTTTTTGATATCTTGATCTGAATTTGATGGCTTAATATATATATATATATGATGGGTAGATGAAGAAATTATTGCCTCTTTATAAACATTACGGGTATGCATGTCTACAGGAAGTATTGAAAACCTTTTCCTAAACAAGAAGTATATGTGCTAACGTGTTTATAGCTTATTTATTCTTATATCTATCACTCACGAACCAAGACATGTAGGGTTAAGAACACTTACCTAGAAAGAGAGAGAGAGAAGAAGGTAATTAGTTATACGAAACTCGTATTAAGAACTTATTCTATTCGATCATGGAAATTTATTGGAAGCATTTACTAACTAATCTTATTAGTTGATAGAAACTGAAACGAAAATCGATTTCTGAGCAGATAGTTGAACTCAAAACTTCGATTGCCGCAAATCCCATCAATGTATGTGCTTCTGGCATTGCAGCTTAGCCTAAACGAGCCGTTTTCCTTTTGGAAAACCCAGGCCACTATCAAATCCAGAGCATTAAGCCCTCAAAACCATTTTTTGTTTGTTGCAATTGCTATGCAATGTTGGAAAAATCTTCAACCACAAAGGACTCAAAACCGAAAGCAAAACAAAACATCGAGGGTATGGTAAAACCGATGTTAAGCAGAGCGAGTGATGGAAGGGGACTGAGGAATTTTCCACCTTTCCCTCCCTCTCTCCTCTGCCTACATATATCTATATGGTGTATGTATGTATATTTGTATGCAAAGAGCCTGGCCAACAATGGCGGCAAGTTAAAGCCAAATCGGGGGCCAAGGCGAGAGGTGAGGTGAGAGGTTAGAGGGAGCTCCACAAAAGGCCACTAAAGAGACGTAGATGTAGATGCCTCTGTGTGTTTGGGTACATATACATACACACACATACATATATGTAGATATATATTTAACAGCAAAGTCAAGCGCTGGCGATGTGCACAGCACAAAATCCAAATTTAATGACCAAGTAAAATAGACAGCAAACGAGAGCACCAGGATACGACAACCAGTATCCTACACACATGCCTATGTGCATAAGTGTGTATGCTTGCTTGTTGGCAGGACGGGGGCGTGGCACTAATGTTAGTTGAATGTTTGCCGAGCCTTTGTTATCGGCATGCGTCTTTTTGCAATTGGATATGCCTTTTATGCCTCTGGGCTGTGTTAATGTTGACAGTGCTCGGTCGGTAGAGGATAGTAGTAGTAGTAGTAGACCGTTGAGCCAAGGACATGACAGGAGTTGGCAAAACACCCGGCCATCGTGTTATTTAGTCCCTGCGAGAAGCCAGCAGAAGGACCCTTTCGACCACGGCCTCGGGCCAAAAGGCATCAGCCTCGACATCGCCCCATCGACATCCATACACAACTTTTGATGCCTGTCCCGCTAGCGCTAGTTCATCTCCATCTCTCATCTGCCTTCTACAGTTCCTGCTCTTCATTCCCATCCCTCGCACATTATGGCAAATTATGACATTGACAAGTGGCCAGGAGGTGTCACATTTCTTGGTCGCCATTTTCCTTTTTGCAGCAATTTGTTGCTGGCATGTCATACATCAGCCACACATCCACACACAGTGAGGAAAAACTAAGAGTTAAGACCGGGATTAAAGGATTTTTTGCATATGAATAAATAGGTAAAACTCTTCTGATGAAGAAATCTAAAACTGTTGTCTACAGAGTGTAATAAATGGCTGCTAAAAAGATTTCTTTCCTGTTTTCATAGCTTTTATTTTTCAGTGAAAAACCACCAGAAGCCATGAAGAAATATTGGAACTCGGAAAATGTCTTTTTCTGCCCGTAGTGTGCATAGTTTTCGCTGTTTTGGCCAAGAGCCGTAAGTGCACTAGGCCCAGAAGAAGAACAAGAAGTGGAAAGAGAAACTGTTGCATACTTTGTAGCGTATTCCACTTGGGCATGTCCTTGGTGTTTGTGCCGTTAAATTTTATTTTCATTACAAATGCGTTTGTTGTTTATGCACTCTATGCGCCAACTGAAACTGAACTAAAAGTAAGGCAGCCAAACAAAAAGTCTTACCACTTCTCGACTATTTTCACAGTTGTTCTTATTGCAGCTGTTTGCATTTGCTTTTTTTTTTTTGGTATTTTTTGTTTTTTGTTTAGTTTGTTGTTTCACTGGCCACGTTTTTTGTTTTGTTTTTTTTGTTTTGCCATTTCTGTTGATTTCGTTTTGTTTTGCATTACAAATAACTTTTTTGCAGTACGTGCGAGCATTTTAACATTTCAACATTTTCATTGCGTCTCGCAGGGTGAAGTGTTCAAATTTATGCGCATACATTGTTAGGGAGCATTCATTCATGCGTTTCCAGTTCTCAGTTCACAGTTCCCAGTTCCATAGCTTCATAGTTGTTGTGTTCCAAAAACATAGCAAACGCCCCCCAAATGCAGTTGATTTCACGATTCATGCATAATTACGAGGATTCGTAGCTCACACAAAATAGAGCATGCATAGACTTTCGGTATGACCTGCATATATAAATCAAACGTGGAATTCCAAATGACACCGAAATATATTGTATCACTGTTCTCTCTCTCTCTCCCTCTGCGATGTTAATCACGTTTGCTATATCTAATCCTAGGGATTCACAAACATCCCCTGGACGAAAATCATAAATGTGATTGGGGGGGGACGCTTTGAGTTTTATATTTAAATTACTAAATCATGGCTTGGATGCATAGTTTTTCCACAGTTTTTTCGGTATCATTAAAGTGGATTTAATTCTCGCAATAAACCTTCATTCTAGCATTCAAAACTTTGGGATGGCAAAAGCTTTTAACACGAAATGTTAGCCCCCTGCAAAAGTTTAGGCATTAGAAACCCCAAAAATGTTAATGCCACAAAGTGTAAATTGAATTCAAGTGTATGAGAAGGAAGTCCTGCGCTCTGGCCGCTAGCCATTAAGTTTATGTGGGAAGTTGTGACATTTCTTTACTGGGGTCAATTAAAGCAATTAAAATTCGTAGTTGGCCGAATAGGAAAAGTTGCTAAGCTGGAAAATATGCTACGGTTTCAGAGATTCCAGCTGTGGAACTTTTTCATAAGCTGCGCGAGATTTCAACAATGAGAAGAATTAAGGAATGACGTAGATTAAAAGTGGAAGGAAATTTCTTTATAATGCCTAGATGATGATGTTAGAAAATCCGTATATATATTTAAAAGCGTGGCTGTGCCTAGTCATTAAAGTGTCACTTAACATGGCGCTGTCAATGTAAATGCGAAAATAAAATACACTCGGCGAACTCCAAATTAATAGCCCGCATCTCATTGTTGTAGAGGAGAGATGACGACGATGAGCCCGCCAGCCAACCAGGCAGTAATTAAAAGATTAATTTTTAATGCGCGCTTAGTCAAAATGCGAATGTGTTCCTGTGTATGTGTGTGACTCCATAAAAATAAAGGGATTTGTGAAAACTAGTACACACACACTCGGATATACCCACCGACTATATGCCCCCCATATGAACATTCTCACACATTGTAATTTATACCCCGGCTCTCGGGTTTCATCATCATCTGCCAGGCGAGTTTATGAACCATTTTCACTACTCCCAACTCCGAAGCACATCCTCCTCTCTCTTTCCTTCTTGTTTGGTTTTGTTATTTTCCTTTTGTTTAATTTTTTATTATTATGCTCTTGGGCTCTGCTGTTTTTATACATTTTCCTTCTTTTTTTTTTTTTTAATTCTGGCCGCGCTTGCAGCTGCAAATGAAATGTGTGTGTGAGCACACCTTTAAATTTTTAATGCAGTTTGCCGTCCTCTGATTTTACACTCATTTCACCTGGCTCAACAACGTTCGCGCGTCCTTCCAGCGCACTTGATTAAAAAATCAGAGGACATCGAGTGGAGGCGGCCCGAAAGGATGTCAATTAATAATTGAAGAGAGGCAAAAAAAATGTAAATAAAATTTACGCTTCTCAGTCAAATATAAAAGTGTGAAATATTCAATCAGGAGTAATAATTTATTATATTTTGTATTATAATAAATGCGTAGCAAAACAAAAGTGAGATTTATTGGTGTGCAATAATTTATTACGTATACGTACGTGCAAGCCAATTAAGGGGGTTTCCCCTCATGAATGCAATTCGCGAAACAATAAATTTATAGGGTATTTCCTCTCGAAAAAATCCCTTATTTATACCGACTCTTTGGCCATAAGTGAAAACAACATTAATCGCCATTTTCCGCTCATTTCTCTCCAGCTTATCAACGCTCCTGTTCTGTCAACAAAAACCAGAGCTCTCCCCTCCTCGTTATCATTCCTCGTTCGCTGCTGTGTTGGCGGTTCGTGCACTATCATTAATATTTGAAATGCAGAAAAGTTCCCAACACTTCTCCCTCTTGTTTTTCTGTTTACAGTCTCTAGCGACAAAGCGGGCGCATAATTAGCTGCACAACAACATCAGGGAGAAACAAATAAAGCGCCAGCAAACTAACTTGGACAGCCAATTAGAGGAAAAGAGCGAGCCAGCGAAAGGCAGGCCCAGGCCCAGATAGATAGAATCCCAAGCACAGGCCAAAAACGTTACTCAACCGAATAAACTTGACAAATTACATGGTTCGTTGCCGAAACTCAAACCAACACATGTGTAAAATGAGGCACAAGCTTCGGCAATTGTTTTTGTCGCTTAAATCGAAAACAAAAGGTAAAAAATGCTGAACAAAAAAACTCCGATTAAATTGTAGGGTGGAGCCATTGTTAACTTAAATCTGTAAAGTTTTTTCAGGTGATAGGATTTAAATATCCATTTACCTTATTCTCCTCGTTTAATATGATTTTTCATCATATTTTCTTTCTCTGCAAAAATAGTGTAGATTGCAGTATGTTGGGGCTAGCTCACCATAGGTGACCTATCACGCCACGCCCTTTTGGCTTTCTGATAGTTAGCCTTCTGGCCCCAGCAGTTAACCAAGCGTATGACTATCCGACATTTACATCTGTGGCTATGTAACTGCTATTGTTGATGATTTCTCCTCTCTTTCCTATTTTTTACATTCTCTTTTTTTCTGTACTTTTCCTTGTGACATTGACTGCCTGAACTAATAACCACATGAGCCTAAAGCCTGATTAAACTGCGGTTAATGAGCTCTCCACCCTCAAAGCAACTCTCCACACATGGAAATTAATCCCGAAAGCGAGGGTGGAGGTGGTGGAGTGACAGCCAGGTGTGCGCACTGGTTCGTTACAGTTGTCGCAAGGTGTTTTGGCTAACCACATGGCACAGGTTTCATTCGCGGCACTGACTTTGGTAATCGAGTGGCTCGCATCTCAAATGACAACCGCCGAGTGAGCACTTGACCTTGCCTTGTGGTGGTGTTGGGTGGGGTGCTTACTAAGGTTGCAAGATGAGCAATCTGTCGAATGTTTTTCAATATTTACATACTTCTACCATAAGTTTACTGTCAAAATTCGATGTACCTTTACATATTTGGAATTTTAGATGACAAATTGGAGAGTAGAGCACTGCAGAAAATCCAGGGAACCCATAAAAGCTGCGTTACCATCATTACCAGATGCCTTCCAAGAAATCCCCCCGAGTCGCAAAGCAACAGCTTAATCCGTACACGCGCTTTTTCAATGCCCAGAAAGCCCTTCCGACAGTCGGCAATAATGGCCAAAGACCAGATATCTACAATCGCGAAAGCGTCTATGTCGTGTCCAATAAGCAGCGCGGTAAGCGACGAACAGGTCGCGAAACCAATCAACCCACCTGGCAACGATTACGTAGCGCTGGGGGCGGCGCTAACGAAGATCGCTTCATGGTCGTTACGCAGGATAACACTCAACAGCCAAGAGATAAACCTGTGTTGACCGCCTCCCAGCTAGATGCCATTTGCTATGACGTTATCAAGGAGCCGCCAATGCAATTTCATGTAGATGGCACCGACATAGCGCCCAGTATCCGTGGCTTGAGACTAAGCGTCTGTGTGGAGCACACTCGATTCCAATTGGTGGCCAAGGTTACCAGGAATATGGGCTTCCAGCATGTTCCCGAGCATAGGTTGTGGAATATCCAATGGTCGGACTCCACACCTCATCACGATCTCCTGCGAAACATGAAGCGCTTTCAGCAAATTAATCATTTTCCCGGCATGGTTGAGATATGTCGCAAGGATCTGCTGTCTAGGAATCTCAATCGAATGCTCAAGCTTTATCCGGGAGATTATCGAATCTTTCCCAAGACCTGGCTCATGCCAACAGAGTGGGTTTTCTCTTAGCACTTAACTTGCTTCTTTTCTTAATTGCTAACCTCTAACAGTGCCTACGATGTGGCCATCTATGCCGCCAAACACAAGCGAACCTTCATCCTGAAACCTTATTCTGCCGGCCAAGGACGTGGCATCTGGATAACCACCGATCTTCGCACTGTGGGCAAGCGAGAGAAACTAATCTGTCAGACCTACATAGAGAGGGTAGGTGTGATACGATGATGGTAAACGATATCCTTTCATTCCTATTCCCTTGACAGCCCTTACTAATCGATGGCTACAAGTTTGACCTGCGGGTCTACACTCTAGTCACCTCAGTGGATCCTTTGCGTATTTTCGTTTACAATGAAGGCCTCGCCCGTTTTGCCACCCAGAAGTATGTGCCACCTACAATAAACAACAGCCACAATGTTTTTATGCACTTGACTAATTACTGCCTGAATCGCCGGAACTCTCAGTACATGGTAGGCAATGGACCAGAAGCTGGCTCTAAACGGAAACTGAGTGCCTTTAATAAGTGGCTGGTGGATCATAACTACGATGTGGCCGAGTTCTGGGCTAGTGTAGATGATGCAATCATCAAGACCTTGATCAGCGCTTGGCCCACTTTGAAGCACAATTACAATATGTGCTTCCCGAAGCACGATAAAATACAGGCCAGCTTTCAGTTGCTGGGTTTTGATATCCTGGTTGACTGGAAACTGAAGCCGTACATACTAGAAGTTAATCACACGCCTAGTCTGAGTGCAGACGAATCGGTGGACATGGAAGTGAAGCGTCCACTCATTCGGGATACTCTAAACATGCTCAGCACAGCTTTGGTGGATAAAGAACAGATCATTCGGGATGATCGTTCAGAACACAGGGCGAGATTGCTGAGTAATATCTATAAGAAAAAGGCAGCTGCCCAAATTCCCGGCTATTCGTCGCCAAACCGTGAAGTTGGTGGCAGCGATGCACGGCAGGCCTGCTCCATCGGGGCACTAACCCAGCAGATTGCCTGGGAGGAGAGTCACTTGGGCAACTACCGACGGATTATGCCTCCCAGAGATTCTGATAAGGTCAACTACTATTGCAAGTTCTACGAACAGAATAAGCAACCCATGTTCGCTGATACACTTGCTAGTCGGCGACGAGGGGAACTAAATCACCAGGTGGGTTTATTTTTAAAAGTATTTTCCATAAAATTTCTATTCATTATCCTTCAGACGATACAGAGACACCAACGCGAGCGACAGCAGCATCTGTTCCAGCAACAGCAGCTCCTGAGCCAGCAAAACCGTTGGCCAGGTGACACGTTGCAATCCCCTCGGATAAATCCTGTGATCCTGCAGTCGAGGCGGCGACGTGAGGAGGCCGAGGCCCATGCCAAAAAGCATCGAGCTCTGATCGCCCGGGAAATTCAGCGTCAGAAGGAGCAGCTTTTAGCCCCCACTTGTGCCAAGGAGCGTTTGGGCATCTGGCAGAGTGTCCGTCGGGAAAAGCGTCACAGGTATTCGCCGAAACGCAGCAACAGCATTACCAAAGCCCATCGCCGTAAGCAGCACCGGAATCTTAACCAGCGAATACGTCATCAACGGATGCTCGAATTAGAGGCCCAGCGGGATGCCAAGTTTCTAGAGCAACACGCCAAACATCAGCGACTTCAAGGTGGCAGGGTAATAGATCAAAGTGAAGCAAAGAGCAGGATCAGTTTAAAGAGCAAAAGCAGCCTGAAAAATAAGCACAAGACACCCAAACACAAAAGAAAGCCAATACTGCGAAAAAGCAGTCGCAGTTTAATGACCAAGTCTAGGCAAGATCTTAACTTAACTGGTGCCCAGACTCAACAATCCATTCACTGGAAGGCGGGCAACATCAGCGACCTGGAAACTAATCAGCATCTCAGTTGGCGGAAGGAGAGGGCCACTCAGTTAAATAACACGCGACTAAGGGAATTGGTAAGCTTACAAAAGGTTACTCGATTCTATATAATCATTTTTCCTTTTAAGATATTTTCAAAAATGTATGAAAACGGTCACCTGACCAAGAACGACATCAAGTGCTTTCCAGACCTGCTGTACCACATACTCAGCAAGGATTTTAACGAAACGCATACAGGATAAATGTATCTTTGTCTATGGTTTTCTGTAGTGACTTAAGTGTCTCGTCTTCCCAAGCAATGGTATTTTTGAAATTAAAAATGACTTCTAACTTCCTTTTACACAAAGAACAAAGTTTATTCGATTTTTAGTAAGGTGAAACCAATCAAAGTTCAATAGGCCCTACACATCGTAATCTTTTGTTTTGCATATTTCCATAAAGGCAACTTTATGCGAGATTTTCTGACACAAACGGCGGCGAACATAAAAGAAACGCATAAAAAAGTGGCAGTGAGTGCTGAAAATGGGAATGGTTGGGAAGTAGGGAAAGCCAGCTCATCGATTTGTCAAACTTGCAAAGCAAAGAAAAACCGCCACAGGAAGCTGAATCTATCCTCCTTCAAAGCACTAAGAAAAATAGGTGGAAACTTGATTTAGTTTTTAGTATTAAGAAGACTTTTCGTTTTAGAGCTTAGCTTAAGCTTTTTCTTCCAGTGCACGCTCCCCTTTTTTCACAGTAGTTCCATTTGCCGAGCATCTTTGCCATCTTTGATGGGCGCATGCATAAACAAAATGCAATACAATACGCGGCATGGGAGCCGTACAACGTGCATTATTGAAAACCTCAGTTGCCACGAGCCACGCCTCCTCTCTACCCTTATTTGCCCCCCATTTTTTCATCCTTATCCCAACTCTGTCCCCTCTTCTTGTGAGCCTCGAAAGCTGGATGGAGGAGGCGGTTTGGATGGGTTTTGGTTTGGTTTAGGTCTATGGCTTTGGCTTTGGCTTGGGCTACAGCTTCGGCTTTTGCCGTCACCGCATGTCCTTCGCTGCATATGAATAACCCCCTGAACGCCCATTCCGCCCACCTAACTCGTTGGCTTTTGCCAGGCTACGCATTATGGTCTGCTGGATGCTGCTGCTCCTGCTCCTGCATGTGTCACATATTGCAAAAGCTGCAGCTGCCGTTACACATTCCTGGGCTTTGGCTTATGGCTGACTGCTGCTGCATTTTGCCTTATATTTTTTTTCTTTTTGCTTTTACCATCTCTTTTTTTTCTTTCGCTTACCAACAAAGTCGAACAGCGTTCTGATAAGCCGCTTCAAAAGAGGGTTTTACATATGCCTCCTCTCTCCTGGGATCGGTTGCATTTGCATTGTGGCTGCAACGCCTTCTGGCCTCCATGCTAATACATTATTGAACATTGTTGGCCCTGCGATGGTGTCAGCTAATACCCGTCGTCGTTGCAACTTTTATTGCATTTTTTTGCGATATTTTTTGTTGTTGATTTTGTTGTTTTAGTTGTTGTTGGTAGCAACTCTTAAACTTTAACATCTCTTGGCCTTTTGTTGCCGAGTGTTTGGTTGTGCACAACTTTATCATCCATCTATCATCTGGTTTTTTTCCCATACTCCTCTGACTTTTTGTTGGCCACTTTGCCTGCACACACACACACACACACACACACACCCACACAGACATATGTTTGCTGAGGCAAATTTCCTTTGATGCTTTTAGTGTCTTCTTATTAAAAAGTTTTTAATCTTATCCCGAAAGCTTTTTGTTCCATGCGGATAAGCGGCACTCCCTTCCCTGGCCAACTTGCCACCATCTCTTTGCTGCGGAAATGAGCCAGGCGGCATAGCTCTGGAAAAGTTTGACTCACAGCTCACTTTACTTTTCGTTTCGTTTTGGCATGTGTGAGTGTGGAAATTGTAGTGGATGGGAGGAGGGCTTGCCAAAATGGGTGTGGCAGTGGGAGTCTGCATTGTTGACAGAAGTTCCGGATGCTATTAGAGGTCGTTTAGTTTGCGATTAGTTAAGCCAAAGCTAGTTGGAGCGTGTGATGGAGCGTTCCTAGCCGACGAACGTGCCCGGCCCAAGTTTTCCGAAAAGTTTCCGGAAACAGTTTTCTTTTTGGCCATGCATCTTTTGAGTGTTTCGATGGATGGCAAGGGGGAAATTGCATTTGGCAGAGAGAAGCGCATATAAATTCATTTTTAAACAGTCTAGAAGAGCGCTTTATAATTTAGTGTCTAAGTTTGATTTAAGGAAGTTTTATGCACATTAATAAATACTTTTTTTAGATGTTTACTATTTGTTTAAAAGTATCTTCGGTTCGGTGATTATGTAGTCTGCTACCAAAATCTTTTGAACAATCTGGCGAACCAATTAATCTCTGCACGTGATCTCAACGCGTGAAATGAACCCCTGCCTGGCCATATCCTTAAATCATACTTCTTATGACACAGAAAAGGCTTTTAATCCGATTTGCAGCTTCATTAACAACAGAATGCAGCTCAATGCGTTGCGCTCGATGTAACAGATATTTTCCGAACTGCCAGAAGCTTTTAATTTGTACTGCATAACGCGAGAGAAAGATGGAGAATTGAAAAGAGAATTGCTTAATTCCAGAACAAACAAATGCGCTCCTTTTGCCATGGTGATGACTTAAGTCAACAGAGAGATTTATTTCCGTTGGAAAAGCTGCGAGAGGCTGGATATGCGAATGCGTATATAAATCCAGTGAGTCGGACTTTACGACAATGAGACCTGCGAAAAGTCATTCAGTCGAATGGACGGACGAACGGAAAATCCTGCTGCACCAGAGGAAAACAGAGGCAGCCATTTTGTCGGATGCGAATTAACATGTCTGGGCTTTCTGGCTTTATCCGCACATACAAACAAACATACACACACGCACTTACAACGATGCAACTCTGCTGGCCCCAAATAATTTTCAGTTTTGTAGTTTTTATACTGCATGTTTTCCACTTCACAGGATTTTATGTTCCACTACGCTCGCACTTGGCTCAAGTGTTGGAAAATACAATTGCCTGAGCACTCGCACTAGGGAGCGAAAGGGGCAGGAGTAGAGCTAGGGCAAGGGAGAGAGAAGGAGAACATTTCCGCATTTTTGTTTCCTTTGGCTTTGTTGTTGTTGTACTGCTGCTGCGCCGCCAAATGTTTTTGCCTTTGCCAAGAAGACAATAAACTCTGGCAGTGTGCGTGTCTAGTTTTCGTTTAGATGTGGATGTGGACTACCCTATATAGCTGGGATATAGGACGACATGGGTTTGGGAAAAGAGTCTAAGCGAAAAGCCTCTTGGTCCACATTTCAAAAGAGAAACTTTGCTTTCTACAACTCATTTTCACTTATTAAAACAGAAACTTTAAATATTTTTGGCGAACTTTAAACTTATTTCAAATTTTAAGCTCAAGAAGCAATTTACTTTAGTCTAATACCAAAGTTTCTTATTTTTAAATAAAATTCATTAACTTTTCTAACTTAAGTAGGGTAAAGAGAGCCCCTCGAGTCCTAGTTTTGGCCATTGTATCTTGTCCATGCGTTGGTTTTGTTTGGCCAAGCTTCGCACGTTTTTCAGCCCCAGCACACTTGAGTACTTTATGCACGTTTTTTATGATTTTTGTCGGTGCATTGTGTTGTTTTTCTTCTCTCCTCTTGTAATTGTTGCTGTTGACGTTGCAGGTTGTTGCTCGCCTAACAATGCACTCGGACTAAACACTCATCGCTAAATCCCGGCCCATCTGCTATTCTCGCTTCATGTTGTTGTTGCTGCTGCCAAGAAGGACACTCACTTTCTGGCCATTTTGTAGCTAAAATGTATCAAATATTGTGATAAGACCAGGCATACCACAAAGCCAGATGCAATCAACACTGTAGTCTGTAGCCTAAGCTACATCAGCAGCAGCAGCAGCAGCAACATTCTGGCCCAGAGGCGACAGTGTGGCAAATAACTGTTTTCTTATCCCCGACATACACACACACAGACACACTCGCACATGCCAGAAAACTCCAGTCGAGTGTGTGACAAGTTTTCCAACAGCTACAAAACAAATTGCAATGGATTTATTTTATTTTCCTCGATAAGGGAGATCTCCCTTTCACCATACTAAGTAGCTAGAGGAGATATAAGGATAATATCGTAGTATAATATAATGTATGTTTTTTGGATAGAGAGGCTGCTGCTGAGAGGAGAGAAAGAGTAAAATTTAGAGATATATATTGCTGTGTGTACTTACAACTGTGATGGGATAGAAAGGATTTATGATGGTGAAGAGTAGAATGTGATTTGGCCGTGTAGTCTCTGGACGCTTTCTCCGTAGGTCGTCATTTGACTTGTTCATAAGTGCTTGCTGCTGGTTCTGTTGTTGTGTGGACTGTAAAAATATGTACACAAACACACATATACACGGATAAGTATCGGGCTTTTGTGGTGACGAATCGAATAGTATAACAACAGATTTAACAATATACACATATAATATATATATAGTATAAATAAGCCTAGCCTTTTCGTGATCTGAGCGAGTGTTCAGTGTTATTATAGTTTATGATGCGCTGCTCTCGGGTTATTTGCTTATGAGATTATCTTTAGCCAGTTTAAGTTTATAAATGAAATATTTTAAGATATTTGTATAGTAAATTGCTTTCAAAAATATAATTCCTATCAATTTATTAACACCTGTGCATGGTTTTCTATTTCTTGTAGGAAACTTAAACCAGTTTACCTTTAATTGCTTATCAATGATCTCGAAACTAGTTCTGCAACAAACTATGTTCAATCTACTGACGCAGTACTGACAATATGAAAACAATTACAAGCAGTTAATTATCCAATCTCTGTGAAATCTAAGTAATCAATTTTTTTGTTTATGCTGTAAGCGAAACTAGTTAGTTTTTTGTCTCAGCTAAGTTTAATATTAATAAATCTTGATCAACTTTGAAGTAAAATAGTTAGCTTAGTTTCTAGGTTCAAAAAATAATATAGCCAGGAAAAGTTCTACAAATTATTTTTATCTTTAATTTTCCCCCATCTTGACTACTTTATCGCCTTTTTCCGATCTCGCTTACGTAAATCCAAACGAATTGATTTTCTGCACTAATGGCATAATTTAAGCCATTGCAAAAAAAAAACACATTTTCTATGGCTGAGTGCAAAAATTTAAGTCAACGCAAAGTTTGCACAATTTTTTCACGTTAATTGACGCTGTCATGGGGATATGTTGAATGCTCAATGCTGAAAATTGTGGAAAACTCAGCCACGGCAGGGTTTTTGGGTTTGGGTGCAGGCTAAGCTAACATAATTTCCGTTTTGTTTTCGGTTAGCTGATTTTTTTTTCTAAATAAATTACGGAATTTAGGTGAACCATGTTCATGTCACGTTCGAATGTCAATCAGCGACGACGACAACTGCCGTGAATTGAAATATTTTGAATATTTTCCACCAGCGGACGGACAGGTGTTTTGGGCCACTTGGTCTTGACACCGAAAATGTCGTTGATGCCTGTACTAATTAACTCGGTACTTAGGAGGTGGTAAAACTTGGATAATTTCTAATCATTACACGGCTTTTCCATCTACCATCTAACCGGTGGTGGTAGCACCTTGACATTTTCTCAACTTTTCCAACAGTTTTCCCGCTTGTGTTTTTTCTAGTTGCCTTTCTCCAACGCTTACACAACTTGGACATGTCAGCGTGTTGTTGCTGTTGTAGTAGCTGGCAATCCACCAGCAGCTACTAATTACTGTTAAAGTTAATTAACTTTTACCTTAGTTCCGATTCAGTCTGTGCAATTATTTCATTGCTAACTCGACGACGACGACGACGCGTACTTTAAACATTCGCTGATGCATTTTTCGAGAAATTAAAGGAGTGGATTCCACTTGGTTTTCGCACTTAACCCTATTTTTATAGACATTCTGCTGACGCCTGTTGCTACCTGAGGCTTTTGTTTCCATTGCCTGACTTTTGCAATTAGGTTAATGGCTCGCCTTTGTGACGTATTTTTAGATGCTTGTGCAAGTCGTTGTATATGTATTATAAATACAAATATGTAAACATTAAGTCAAACGCTGAACTTCGAGGTAACTGCTGACCTTTAGCTTTATATTTGCAATTGAGTAGAATAATGAAAGGAAAGACAGGCAACGTTTTCTATATACAAAATGTCGCAGAAAGATACCTTTTCCCTTCTTTATCCAATACATAAATCCATTTTAATGACTTCCTCAAATCCACATCAATTGATCATTTGGCAAACAACTTCATTATTGAACTGGCATCATCCAGAGTAGGTAATCCAATACGAAAAACCAACAGACAACAGCTTCCTGCCACAGCGTCCTTGTCTCAAACTAAGGGTTAATTCAAATTTCAACAACTTTGACGCGTACAAAGCGATTTGTGTGAAAATCCGAGGAAAAGAAAAGAAAACAAAGAGCCAAGCGGCATGCCAGCAGGAGGAAACATTTGTTTTCTGTCAAATTTGCCTTTAATAATAATACACCATCAACATTTTTCTTCTCCTTTCACCTCTTTCCCCATCAGTCCTCTCAGTTTTCCTTGAATTTTTTTCTTTTCAGTTTCTACCTCCGCAAGAGTAGGAAAATCTCACAGCCATGGAAACTGTTGATTAAATTTCATAAAAACAACACAAAACCGATACTAAAAACATGATTGATTGACGGATGGATGGATGGCTAGATAGATAGATAGATAGGCTGTATTTGAGGGTATTGGTTCGAAGTGCATTGAGAGCCTAAAGAATGTAGAACTGTACATTGGCCTGTGGGTTGATTTTGATCTTTCCCTTTATTTAGTATTTTTTGTTGTACTTTAAATTCAATTTATTTTTGGTTAAAAACATTTGAAACATTTTTAGCACAGCGGCCGACGGATTGAAAATAGCCTACAGCGGTGTGGCAGTGTCGTGGCTGCATACCGCAACGCATTTCAGCTCGAACCGCAACGAAATGAAGATGAATTACCCACAAAATTTCACCACAACAACAACAACAGCAGCAGCAGCAGCAGCATACACACATGCCTCTGCCTTGGCCGGTCCATGCAAATTGCGAATTGCAAATCACAAATAAATTTTGCTTCGAGAAATTTGCACTCAGTCGATCAAGCGGCCGCTGTCGCTATAAAGTGCAGCCTCAGCCAGCGACATCCAACAGATACGAGTATGTACATAGGCTACAGATACAAGTGCACAATATAAATGCGTTTGCCAAGAAAACCCAAAATGAAAAAGAAAAACCAACAAAATTCGGGGAGATAGAGAAGAAAAAAAAGAAAACGATGTGTCGCCGTCATGAAGATGAAGATGAAGAAATTGCCGCTGGGTTGAGTCGCAATCGCAATGAACTGCAAGTTTCAGAATCTCAGATAAAGAATCGAGGTAGTAAAAATAGCAAGAAATATAGCCAGATTCAGGCAGACATTCAGACCGACAGTCAAAAGGAGCATCATAGTCTGGGAGACAGACAATTGAAGTATGCATTCGCGTTTGCCAAACTGTCCTCGCAAGGATTGACAAATAAGAAAAAATCAAAGCAAAGTTTGTACAGAACAAATGCTTAAAAATGCTAAGTTGATCAAGAAATTTTTGCAGCAAAAAGACAAAAACTAAAGCTTAGGTTAAGAAGGGCTTCAAGTTTTTACTCCTTCAATTTAAAAGCCTGAAAATTTCCAACCGCAAATGCATTTTTTAAAGTGTTAAATCGTCAAGTTAAATGCCCCATCGAATGGCAACCGAAACATTGTAAGTTAAGACTTCTAACCGTAACAAAAACCTATACTCTAATATGAAACAAATGCCAGGATATTTTGTTATATCTAAAAAAGTGTTAATAGTTTAATTCTTTTACCCGAAAAATTCCCCGCATTATAAACAAATTAACAAAGAAGTCTTCATGCTTCTTCTCTTCTTCGGAATTAGACAAGATGATCCATTTGCAGCATTTGCTTAGCTCATTTGCTGCTGTCCAATGTCCCAGGTAGCTAATCAAGAACTTCCCCAAAAAACAGCCCCAGAACTGTCCATCTCCCTAGCCGGCATCCATATGCTGGTGTCCTTCATTTCGAGAAGACTGCGGCGGCAGCTTCATCATCATCATCTTAGAATCGCAATCCCTGCCTTCGAGCCAAAAACAAAAAGGAAAAGAGTGAAATTCAGAGGGAAATGTCTGGCGACAGCAACATGAGGCGGCATTTGTTACTCGCAATTAGATGCACTGTATTCTGCCAGCAGACGGGCGCACTCCCGGCATTTTTCCAACCCCCTCCTCAAGGTTTTCTTCTGCTTTTCTTTTCTTTATATTTTTTTTTTTTTGGGTTGGTAGCGAACGAGACGAAGGCCCGCAAATGTCGAACGAAAATTGCACATAAAATGCAATTTACAAAATGTTTTCTTCAACGTTTGCGTTGCGAAATTTAATTAAAACAGCAGCCAGCGAGCCCAACACAACCACGATGAAATTAAATGCTGCAGATCAGTGAGCGACAAGAGCGAGTGGCAGGGATCTTTGGTTTGTTTTGGGCCAGGCCAAGTAAAAACATCAAAAGTCCAAGTCAAGTGGCCCGACATCAAAAAATAATCGAGAGAAGGAAATAATAATATATACAGCAGCAGTAGCAGCAGAATCAAATGTAGATTCTACAAAAATGCCATCGAAAATAGTGGAAACAATGTGTAAGTTATAAACAGTCTGGCCGACTGCATTGGTAGTATCTTTCTATCTATCTATCTATCTATCTATCTCATCTACATGATGTATTTCTCAACGGCCCCCACTTCTTGGGCGGCAATCAATCATTTTGGCAAAGACAAACCTTTTAAACTATATAATATATACACCCCCGATCGCATGCTATTGGCATTGCTCATCGGCGTCATCATCATGACCATCACCATCATCATCATAATCACATCGAACCTCTGTGGCCGCAAACGTCAGAGATACATTCTCATGAATGACATAAGTACTTTGGGGTAAACACATTTCTATGTTTCTCGTATCTGTATCTGATTTGTTTCTAAATCTCTCGGTAACCATACGGCAATTGCTCTATTTTAGCTCATTTTAGTTCTCAATATTCTACAGATATATATAGATATATACCAATATATATATATGGATATATATTCAGGCATTGGCCATTTGGCCAGATCTCTTATCTCAGTTAGCAACGCTCATTAGTCACAGCGGGTGGTGGCGTTTTGTGGTTGGGGGCAGGGCCACAACACGTGGAGCATTGAAAATTGTCATTAGTTCGGCGTTTGATTTTTCCGTGCTAGTGCTCGTTGCTTTCCTCTTCTCCACCCCCCCACCATTTTTTTGTTTTTAGCTGACGTGTGTGTACAGCCAACAA